CGTTGAGCGCTCCCGGGGGCTGCTGAGGCGGCGGGGCCCCGAGAGGAGCTGCCAGGCTCCAGCCCCAGATTGCTCCCCCTTAAAATACCCACTTGTGCTTTACTGTTACTTGTTTACTTCTACTGTTATTAGCTGAGGTGAGCAATTCATAGAATCACAGAACGGTTTGGGTTGGAAGGGACCTCAAAGATCATCTAGTTCCAACCCTCCTGCCATGGGCAGGGACACCCTCCACTACACCAGGTTGCCCAAAGCCCCATCCAACCTGGCCTTGAACACTTCCAGGGATGGGGCAGCCACAGCTTCTCTGGGCAACCTGGTCCAGTGCCTCACCCCCCTCAGAGTGAAAAATTTCTTATACCCAATCTAAATCTCCCCTCTTTCAGGTTAAAGCCATTGCCCCATGTCCTATCACTACATGCCCTTGTCAAAAGCCCCTCTCCAGCTTTCCTGTACCACCTTTAGGTACTGGAAGGCTGCTCAAAGGTCTCCCCCGAGCCTTCTCTTCTCCAGGCTGAACAGTCCCAACTCTCTCAGCCTGTCTCCATAGCAGAGGTGCTCCAGCCCTCAGATCATCTTCATGGCCTCCTCTGGACGTGCTCCAGCAGCTCCATTAAAATCTACAGCACAGCACCCACAGAGCTGTTTCAATCAAACGAAAGAAACCACAAAACAGAGACTCATGACCACACCAAGAGCCCAGAACACAGGACAGACCCTTCCCAACAAAGCTGCTCTGCCCCTGGAGGACAAGGAGAAAGGAAGGCTCACACAAACTGCCCAGACAGGTGCTGTTCTCCTCACCAAAGCACAACGGTGTGAATGCCTTCAAGGGTTAAAAAAACCCAACACAACCAACGAGTCAAAGGGACACAGGACTTTGGGAAGACAGACACTTGCAGGCAAGTTCTTGACTAAACGTGCAGACAGCAGCTGCAAGGGACCCGAGGGGTGACGTGGTCCCAAAGACACAACCATCACCAGCGGCCACCCTCCTCCCTCACTTGCTATCGCTTCCAGAGAGGCTGAGCTGTTCCTGCCTGGTGGAGCAGCCCAAATCCAGTTCTTAAGGAGACAGCAAGGAACACAGCACACAGGTGGTGACTACTTTAAATGAAGACCTTCGTTTCTACTCCATTTTAACTCGCCTTTGTTGTGCAAGGAACAACAGAAAGGATAAAGACACCAGGGATTAACATGATGCTTAACAGCTGCCTAACCAGTGCTGCGAGGCATCCAGGTGACGTATTTTAAAGTTTTACAGCATCACATCTTACATCACCACCCACCACCATGAATAATGAGTAGGCCCGATGACTATCACACTTTTGTTGTTAAAAAGCAAGATCTGCTGATGGATGACTTGCTGTTTAGACAAAGGGCTGTCCACAGAAAGCCACCAAGCACTGCATTTGAAGAAATGCAAACATGGCCATGTTTCACTTACAGGCTCCCACTGCCTCAGACACAAAAGGCTGCTCAGTTCCCCTCCCCAGTGCTTCCCCTGCCCGCCTCCTCCACCTGTGGTTTTCCATGTGCTTATTACCATTTGCCAGCAATTCATGCGAAGGCCTGACTCATTTTCTTCCATCTTCTCCTTTGTTAGCTCTATTAAAACAAGTCTTTCACAAGATGTTTGTCAATCCACAGCCTCTCCAAATCCAAACAATTACTTTTGAAATACCTCAGAAAATCTGGCCTTGTTTTGAGCTTTGCGGGCTGCTTAGAGTGGAGAAAAAAAAAACAAACCAAAACTCAACCAATTACAAGGACAGCATCAACAGCAGATACTAAATTTGGTTTCTGTGCTGTCTTTCACAACTCAACCAACATTCAGTCTCCATCCAGCCTTTGACAGATGCCACAAGTATGCACTGCAGGTGGGACCTTCTGAGTGCTGACCTGCCTCATTCGGAAGCCATCCAAAATTGCCACTATCCATCTGTTTCACACACATCTCTTTTTGGATTCCCGACAAAACTCCTCTACGTTCTGTTAACACATCCAAGTGCTCACCCCATTGTTTGATTGGAGCTCTCCCTCCAGCTGGAATATGACAAAATAGACCTGCCATCTCTTCCCACAGATGTCCTTCATTTTGAGGCCCCTGGGAGGAGACAGGCAACAGGAGACCATAAGTTTTCGCTTTATTTTTTTTCTAAGCTGACTTGTGATAGTAATTTTGAATCCATCAGGTTCTCACTAACAGCAGAACCGCTTACGTTATACATAGAGGGAATGGAATCTGATCTCTAGTGGGACAGGCAGCCACCAACAATTTCATCCTGCCATCCCTTAGAGAGAGATTCCCAAACATCCGCCCTTCATCACGTTGCCTATGAAAGACCATAACTTGTACAGATGTCACTAAGGTTCAAGCATGCTCTCTGCCCTCCAGCAGCTAGGCCAAGTCAGATGGTTTGCCATCTAAAGAAAAGGCTTACTAAGGATCCTAAGAAATCACACTACCGTTCTTTTTGTTAAAAGAAAGTCTTAGTAGATGATAGTCGCTCTAAAATACTGGAACAAAGCAAAATTAAGGCTGTCTTGTGTTCTTCTGACTCACCCATCCCGTAGCACTAATCAAGATTCATCTAATTACTCACAGTAAAACAGTAGCTGTGGACAGATGAGTTCTTGCAGCTCCAGCTGTGCTGAGGAAAGATCTTATTCCCTAGGGAAGATCCTAGGTAAGCCTCCAAGGTTCTGCTCGGTTTTGCTACTGAAGCCTCTTAGATGTGGGCACCAAAATGTCATGGTTAGCAGAGATCTACTGTGTTGGTGACCTGCACCCTTTTCCACAAGTCCTTAATTTTCCTCTACTTTGTGAGTGGGCCAACACAGAGAGAATCAGGGAGGAAACGGGGAGATTTCATAGGAAAAGCATGTTAAATTCTGCAAGAAGAAAGCAATCTCCCCTGCAGAGTCCTTTGCTAGTCCACACTCCACCTCAATTCACAGGTGACACTACCTGGACGCTTACTAAACCGGTTTCAGGCAGGTGGTACTGAGCAATTTTCTATGTTGTAACTGGTCGCCTCCCCCATGCCACCCTTCACGCCTGGCAGACATGCTAGATCCACAAATCTAAGCCTCCACCTCAAAATCAAAAGGCTTCCTGGACTGATCATCGATCTGTCAGGCTAACGGAATATTCATGGAGAGGCCAAAGATAAAGGTGGAGCACAGGAGCACATCGCAGAGGAGACTTGCAGCCTCAGAAGTGAGGCTACAGGCAGTGATCCGTCCTTTTCCCCTTGTGACAGGCTCATTTTTATAGGGCAAAGTGAGCTGTGGAGTCTGCACAAGCTTGTAAAACTTCAAAACAAACTCACAACGAAATAAACAAGGTACCTCTCACCTGCAGAATTGCCCTTCTCTTTCTGAACACCTGTTTGCTGTTCAGTTTCAGATTAGCAACTTCACAGCACGAACAGCTCACACCTGAATCCCATTTTATCAACCAGCAGTAGCAGAATTTAATGGAAAGCTATTTCACTTCATAATACAATTCATATGGCGAGGTACAGCTTTTTCCATTATGAAACTATAAAAATATATTCCCAGAGTTCAAATCAATAATTTAAAGTGACAATGAAAATAGAATCAGGTGTTATCCAGGAAGACCTGGCCCAGTACTGCAAGTTTAGAGTGAAAAGATTGACTGGGGCAACTCAGGAGGGAGTGTGAGCTCTTCTTAGAGTTTCTCTTCTCTCCATCTTTCTCTGAAGAGGTATCTTCAGGGTCTTTTGCACTTTCTCCTTCACCATGGTCGAAAGCTCTTTTAAAAGCAAATTTCTTGTTTTTCTTCAGTGAGTAAAATTCACGCATCAAGTCTTCCACCTCCCACTGCTCTTCCTCCCGCTTCCTACAGCAGTGCAGTGCAGCAGGGTCTATCGGATGAGCTTCCGTGTTGAAGATGTATCCTCCAGCATTCACGACGCATTCCCCGTATGGTGTAACCACCACATCAAAGACTGACCCATCGTTGTGAATGAAGTTGTCTGGGTCAAACAGCAGGTACAAGTATTTTACTGTTTCAGCCAAAAAGAAGGATTCCATGCGATTATCCAGTCTGTGATCTCTCAAGTCTTTGATCTACAAGAGAAGAAATATAGCGGGTTGCTGTTATACTGAATTCGGTAAATTACGAACTTAGGGGGAAACGTAAAACCAGTTTGCAATTCATTTCAGTTAAACAGCACAGAATCGCACCGATTCACCCTGCATCCAACTGTTAAAAACACAAATACATCCACAGGTTTCAGATATTTTGGATTAGCAGTGTCTAGTGATAAGGAACAGGAAACTAACAATGAGGAGAAATGCACTTCCTGCCTGGCTAAGTAGGAGAACAGCAAGTAAGCTCCCCATCATTTCCTCCACTAAAAAAAAAAATAAATCATAAGGCTTTTACCTACTTCCCAAATTACAAGGCCTAATTCCCAATATTTATAAGGAATTTTTTGTAAAAGAGAGTTTGATAGTAAGTTTCAAATCTTCTAATAAATTATTTTAGAGAAATTACTCACTGCAGTTCTCTTGTGTTTGATCAGATTTTCAAGGTATAGTGGAAAAGCAGAATCACACAACTGGCAGGCAGAGAGCCGGCATGTAAGCCTGAGCTGGAACACCTAGTAGCTACCAAGATACAGGAGGCAGGAGAAGGAGGCAGGAGAAGCTTCTCCTGCTTTCTCAAGCTTTCGACTCTGGTGCAACAGCCAACGACAGAATTTGGCCCACTGTTCAGCCTCTGAGGCAAGTTACTACCAGGAATATGACCAGCAGTTATGAGATCAGCTTCAGAGAACTACCAGGGGTTTGTGTGAAAAAGAAGTCATGTTTCAACCCAAGTGATCACTCAACTCAATGGAAAAACATCATTCATGAGAACACTTTCTAAACCCTGACTTTTAGCAGCCATTTAGCCAACTTAGCAGTTGATTTAGCACTTACAGTTGCAAATCCACAGTCCACCTTGCTGATTTTCTCTATTGACTCTACTGCATCTCTTCCCAGTTCTAAAAGCGTGGGATCTCTTGTAGCCCGGTACAGATACATTGCACTCTCAATTAGCTCTGCAAAAAAACCCCAAACATTTCCAAGCATAAGGATTACCAAACCATGTACACAAGGAAGACAAGACATTCCTTCAACTAATTTAACAATGCTACTTAAGACGATCAGGCAAACAGCCTAGCTTGCCTCGTACTTCCTCTAGCTCAAAGCACAGGTACTTGCTTTTCCTAAGGATGTGCTACAAAGAAATTCACTTGACCAGGTTGCATCCGTGTTCAGAGAGTGGGAGGGGAGCAAGAGAAAAAAAGGATTAAAACTCAGTTGTCAAGATGCTTCTAGAAAGGATTACCAACAAGAAACTGAACACCCAAAATATAAACAATACTGTAAGCCTCTGAAACAGAGGTATCTAAATCACCATGAAAACAGGCACTATGGAAATACTCTATATATGCACTGTGCTTACTAAAGAAATAGGTGGTTTTGGATGCTAAATACCTTCAAAAGTTAATGCTGATGAGTATTTTTTGGTAAAAATGTCAAATGTGGATGTCACCTGAACACTCAGACCAAAAGGAAGTTAATTATTCTCATTTACCAAGTTTTACTGACCTAATAACCAGGAGTGAGAATTTTTTTTTTTTGGTCAGAGTTGTAAAACAGAAAAAAGTCAGATCATTTCATTGCAGTATCACAGACAACTTATGATCCCTCGTACGTTGAGCTCTACTAGTACAACTAGAACCAGTTTATTTCAGGAACTCAACAGAACTAGAGGGGTCTATTCACACTCACTGTCCCTTCCTACATTTAAAGGACACAAGTGGTCACATTAACGTTTTGCATGACTTTAAAACACTCTGTGTCAGACAGTCTAACACTCAGACATGTCAAATCCTGCATCGTGAACCCCATTCATTACCAGGCCCCTCCATACCGTAACGCTGTGGTTTGCTTCCTTTGAAAGGCAGCCCTGCCTCTGCGAATGGCAGAAAGCAAAACGTGCAGCTTTGACTGTCGAAATCACCAGTAAAACGCACGCAGGAACCAAGCCAAAGCCAAACTGGGGAGGAGCTTTTGCAGGGCAGGTGTTGCTAACATTTGATCTTACAACCAGAGCGAAGCAGGAGTCCATGTTCTTTTTTATCTCATTTCTGCTTACCAGGCCTGAGTGGATATCCTTCTCTCTTGTCCACTGTGTAGCCCTGAGGAATGTTGTAGAACTCCGGCAGCCCACCAAACTGCTTCCACACTGTGTAATAGTTGAGGAAGGTTCGCATGGCATTATCTACATCCCCAATTAGGCTCTGAGAGAGGAAACAGTTAGCAAAGCGACACCTAGGTGAAGAAACAGCACAGGAATTGATGCAGTAACATTCCTATACCAAAAGCAAGAGATGGTGACAGAAATGGGTAAAAAAAAATGGTGTAACTACTACTTGGGCATGATGCCTTAACAATAGTTCTGTTGTTTGTTTATTTTTTCTGCTTTTCTGTCAGATCCCGTTCTGCACACCTAAATAATACGAAGTCTCTTTGATTTTTAGTCAACAGAAAGTTGCATTTCTTCAGTCAACATTTCTTTTAGTCAATCACAGCATCTCCAGTCCTTTGCAGTGGGGACAACAAAGTCCCAGATCAAATGTAAGTACTGATGAGAAAGCAAACCTCTCAAGCAGAAAGCATTCACACAAATAAAGCATTTATCAGGGGGTGGAAAAAGAGATGTAATTTTCTTTTTCCTTACATTCCCATCTGGGTTATGAGACCACTGTCAGTGGAGTTTGCTACAACAAAACTGACCTTCCATCATGCTTCATGGGAGACTTTTTTTATAGACTGTACATAAAGTCAACACCTGTTCTTCTACAGGCTCAGACTAGTGGGGATTTTACCAGAGATCAAAACAAATTTTTACACCAGCACAGATGAGGGCTATATTCGTAACTTTTAGATTACAGATTGACCCAAGACAGAGGAGCAAAATCACCATATGTTACTGGTATGACAGCTCTTACCTGTAGGCCTGGCCAGTACGCCTCCAGGGACTGAAAAACAGGCATGGACACTGTTCCTTTGTACATCTGAACCCAGAGGTACCAGTCATCAAACTTTGTGTAATTTTTGATAGCCTTGTTATATTCTATAAAGAAACATAGATGGGTAGATAATGCAACCAAAAAAA